CTGTCAATGTCAGGAGACATGAAAAATGATGATGCAGCGATAAGCACTCACAACGAGACAGCGCCCTGTGCCAGCCAGAGGTAGCGGGACTGAACGAGGGACCCTCCGCGCCGCTTCAGCCAACAGGCAGGGGTCGATAAGCAGAATTAGTGTTTCGGTGCCAATTAGGCATTGGACTCCATGCGCCGGTAACGGATCCTTTTGTATCCGTGAGGATCCTGCGTCGGTCCTGTGTCGGATGTCCAGGTCAGAGGGCCTGCCGCATTAGAGATGGGACCGGTGCATGATGTACCCCTCTGAAGGCCTCTCGATCGACCAGGGCAGCCCGGTCCTCGCATCACCAGAATACCAGTCGCTAATTATTCCTGGCCGGGACGAAAGAGCCTTTGAGCTCCTGACGTGGACAATTCCTATACGCGATTTCAAAGCAGACTCTCAGCACGGAATCAGGGGTTACAGCATCACAAGCAACCGAGATTGCGCTGTCGCGTCATAAGTCACTGGCGTTGTACATGCTAACAATAGATTTAACAAGCTTTAAGCGCGCTGCCAGGTCTTTTTTCGTGCGATGGAGTTGTCATGCAATGTTTATGCGTGTACGCATTCATATGTTTTTATCCCTTATCACTTTCCGTTGTTTTTGACATACAGTTTTATCTCTCAGACTAATGACACGCAAAAACCACGCATGTATGTGGAGTGTCAGTTGATGTCAAATAAATAAACGAATAAATAAATAGAACAATGTGAAAATACGCAGGTGATTGTGTCCGAAGTACGTACGCGTTACGTCTTGCGTGTTGTGTCTACTTCGCATTACAAGATATGCTTTTTGGCAAGCTTCTACCATGGACTATGTTATACTACAGCTATATTATCGTTGGAACGCAAGACGATTTTGCGTGTCGGGGGTGTAGTACACCTACTATCCTAGGTTTTTATTACATAAAACTCACATTGTTTACGCATCGTTCGTGGCATATTCCTTAATCAGAATGAAAAAATCGTGCTCCTTCCAGACACTCAAAACTTAGAGCACAATATTTGAATATTTGCATGTCAGTGACACAAAACATGTCACCCATATTCCAGGAAGCTGGCGATATGTTCTAGTTTAAGAAAGAGTATCCCGTCAAAAGTCCGCAAAATTGTAGCGGTTTGGCCGCTTTCTGCACCCACCACCATTTCAATATTTGCGTCATGACATGCCACTCGAGTGGCATTACGAGTTAGAAAATGCGCACAAGTTCTTTTTTGCGCTTGACCATTCACTGTGGGGTTCGATTCCCGCGGTACCCACCCTTTCTGCCAGGATAAGAGGCAGGCGTCGCCATATAGTCTCAGAGCGTCGTAAAGCCCAATGACGCACATTCACGGTGTGGTTAGCTACTTACAAGAAACAACTTTTTCGGATTTCGTCTGACGTAAATTATGTGATATTGTGTGAAATAAGTGTCTTTTATACCAGATTCTTTAATACCACATTGTTACCAGATTTAATACCAGATTACGATATCTTTAACACCAGATTGTTAGTCCCTGCAAAACCTTAACTTATCTTTGTTTCAGAGAACTGAAAGGGTATCGGGAGACAAGTCTCGCGTTGTGAAGGCTGAACAAAATACAGCGGCGGTCCAGATTACTATCGGGGGACCCATCCCAACATTTGAAGGAAGCTCAAAATTGGGGGACCATGGCCCCCTAAACAGATACAAAGTTTCACCCCAGGCATCTAGTGCAAGCCATAAGGTTCAGGGAGGCCATGACCCCCGTGGTCTGCCACGACCATGTCCATGAGTAAGTATTTGCGTGCAAGCTGTTTAACACTCATAGATGACTTCGACACCTGTGCAATCCTATTCTATGCACTCGACACATCAGATAGAGATTAATCCGCTGTGGTTCGTGATTGCTTTGCTGCACAAAGAGCCGGCACCGTTGCCCTTGGCACAGCACCACCTCTAGCCTCCTAATTTTGTTCGCCTCTCAGTGATGCACAGCGAGTCTTAATTTTGTGTTCTAAAATGGTGGCGTATGTGTCCATTGGCAGTTCCCTGCCTGTGGATATGCTATATGCATCGTTGCACTGATTTAAGAAAGACCTTCAGATCCCAGTATTTCATGATGATGAACACAGCTCGAAAGACCTTCAGTTTGCTAAGAGGTACTGGTTAAAGGAACTGTTCCACACTTGTATGGGGTTTTGAGCTGGTACACACATTTATAAGATCATCCAGTACATTTACAGGCCTGCCTTTCTTGAAACTTAAATCTGCACATTTTATCTTTCCCACGTACGCTATATACACTGAAAGTATCTCCAAGCTTAGTGTCAAAACACTTCCCTGTTCACGCACGTTGTGACTGACACAGGTATCGGGGGGACGTGAAACCAAGTCGTGGATTGCCACGAAAGCTGAACCCGCCGTAAGCGTCAACTTCTTGGCAATCCGTGCCGCCACCCGTGCTGCACGTCTGGTTAACATGTGTGCAAAGACGGATAGACGGGAAGACGTTCGCTCTTGATCATCTGTTCGTAGATGACTTTTATAGCTCCGTGGAACTTCAACTCTCAACACGCGATAGTTGGGGCTCAAATTGACCTCGCGAAGGTTTTTCAGAATTATTTCCGAACGACGTAGCGTACCCGCGCAACATATTGCACAGCTGTAGAGAATTGGATAACGGATCGTTTGATGTAAAATCAGGTGTACCTTATATGGTCGCTGACCTACGGCAGGTCGAAGTCCGGCCATGGCTGTCAGCGACGGTCATTTCTAGGGAATCGTTCAATGCGATGCGACAACGGAGTATCGGACGAAGCCATACATATATGAGATAGCTTCTTGGGCAATAAACCAATACAAGCTAGAATTACAACTAACCTCACTCACCTAGGACCAGGTAGGAAGGTCAGAACGCGGTCAAAACTAACCTGCCTCAAGAGCTTAGCTTTATGGGGTTAGTTTCTGGTGTATATTTCGATTTTTTTAATGACGGGGAACGCAACAGTCATGTCCCATGGACTTGCTAAGTGTAAGAATACGTCACTCACCTAAAATGACCCAGGTCAACATTTTTGGGGAACGTGGCGCTTAGCATTATCCCTGACGCCTATAACAATGACAAATTGGAGTGATATCGTAGGTATTTGTTTAATTTGACCTTATAAAGGTTAAACAAGGTCAATGAGCTCAATGGCCTTTTGCTTAGAACAGGTATCTACTTTCGCGGCGGCCGCATAAGGAGTTTTGGGGGACTTACGACACCAATCTCGAGTTTGACCTTGTTTGACCTTTTTGACCATACGGTCTACCTAGAAACCTGAAATTTTGACACAAGTGAACTCTCACGTACAGGTACCCTATGAATTTGGTGTCTCTAGCTATGTTGGTTTTTGAGATCTCAGGGGGGAGGTGAACTGATTCCCACCCGAGCCAAGGGCATTCAGCCAGCCACCCCGGCGTGTGTCTAAACGCCAATCTGGATTTCTCACCATAATTAAGTGCAAAACTAACATTGTTTCACTCTTATCTTCTGCATGTTGACAACAATCGCGTGACCAACTATTTGATGAGGTATGTTTTGCGCCTACCATCACTTTGCAATGCACTCCGAAACGGTTGGCACTAGTTATACGGAGGTTTTGGCGCTCCTCCAAGTGTTCAAAACACGATGCGTAATCGTATCAGAGCTCGAAGCGTCTAAGCTTAGGTCGAAAGAACGTCATAATGGTGAATGACAAATTCTGGCCTTTTGAGTCATCCCAGCGTGCTTGCTCGGCGAGTGGTAGAGGTGTCGAGGTGCATGCTTTAAACTCCTCAATCTGGCTTGCTCCAGCATGCATCATCATGTCCACCAAATAGTGATTACATATAGTCTGATAGCTTGCGCGACTGCGGTGTGGACTGTAAAAAACTCGGCACTACCTACTTCTCATTATCATATCTTACTGACATGATAATGGTACTCTTGCGGATATATATATATATATATATATATATATATATATATATATATATATATATATATATATGGTTTCTACAATTTAATACGAGCACAACAAATATCTGCACGCCAACGGGTCACCTAAAAAAGCACGCGACGGAACATCTTTAAAGCTCTTAATGGGAAGAATTAACAACTTAATAACTTGCGGGGGATGTGTGGATTCCATGACATTCAGTGAGGGCTTCTTTTGATGAATATGAAGCGGTTCTGACATCATAAGACTGCGGGACAAACGCTAGCTAGCTAGAGGCTTGCCTGTTAAGTTTAATATCTGCTTGTTTCATCTGACTCCGCTTCGCCAGCGATCAAAGTCCTTGATTCACGAATGCGTCCAAACCGGTCTTCTGTTCATTTGTCCCATGTCCTGTCCCACACGGGCCCAGAGGGTTAAACATGCAGGCTGCCGTGCTGTCGTGCTATGGAGCAAAGCGGGTGGCATTCAGCCAAGTTCGGAGCATGTGGCATATTGCCCACGTACTCGTGCCAAAACCGAATTTAATGAACACGAATTACGTTGATTTGTGGCTCAATATTATGAGCTGCGGCGAATTATTTGTACAGCCCGCGCGCCTCTCCAAAATGTCTTGATAGAAGCCCGCGTCTTTTAAATATATGTTAGCTTCATTTGTAGTTTCATATAGCATGCTGAAACTTTTTTCAACCATTTCTGCAGCCTCATGCACGTCTTCCAAATGGGCTACGATCACAGTAGGCCGGCGCCGATGTCGCCGCCCGTCCACCGCCTATCTCATGTAAATGACATCGAATGGCTCATTGTATGGCGGGAGCAGACACCCTTGGAACCTCGCGACCTCAGCATGCATCGTATTAGTCGCCTCGCCTTCTCACCCAGACAGGCTCTGTCCATCGTATTAGTCGCCTTGCCTTCTCACCCAGACAGGCTCCGTTCATCGAAGGGCACGTCACTACACGTGCAATAGCTTCTTAATGGTAGAAATGCGAACCCGCACAAAAATACGTGCACTCACTTGAGCCGCTTTTTGGAGGACTGCTGTGCAGGATGTGCGGGCGTTTTCCCCCCGGCTGAGGGAGAGGTGGCCTCAGGTTCTGGTTCTGCCATGTGCACGTCAGAACCCTGAAACAGCAATGGTCATAAATATGCCACAGTTGAGGCGAAGGGTCTCCCATTTAGCCAGGCACACATGTGGCGAAGCACTGCATGCCACGATGACAGTGATAGGCCAGTGTAGAAGCAATGTAGACATGTATGCAGAAAATAACTAAACACAAGCAGTCATTTTCCGCTGTTTTCAAGACAATGGCAATTCTGAATTAAGACTGGATAAAAAACCCCAGGTATTCTGACCAAGTCTTCTACATCTGTATGACTTCATCATATAAAGATGAACATGGCCAGGAATTTGCATCTTTGTCGTATTCAAAATTTGCTTCTTCAAATATTGCTAAGCCCACGGGCACTCAGAAGCTTCGCCTTTCAGCAAACGGCCTCAAAGCAGCCGCACGCCATATCGCTGACATGACTACTGCAGTTCACAACGGCGCACAAAACGCGGACAATCTCCGCGCTCATCACTTTCCGAGAGGCGCACTCTCTCCTCACCGGCAGCGAGGCGCGGAGTCTTTTCGTTCCCTTTGTCTCAAAATCCTCCAGGTCGTCATCGCCCCAGCCTGCAACATCAAACAGCGATGCGTCGCCCGCCCGCGGAGCCCGGCTCTGATTCGGTCCGGGCCGACAAACACGCGCCGGTCGTGTCATCAGTGGCTCGGCTCGGAGCCGCGCCGAGCCGGCAGCGCCGCTCGGCCTCATTATTCCGCCGCGGGCCAAACAGCCGCCGGCGTCCGCGGCAGCCACTCCGCCGATTGCACGCTGAGGCCGACGGTAAACACCCGACGGCGGCGGCGGCGACGCGCCGTCGCCATGGCGACGGCCGGGCGCGTCACCGCCAGCGGCAATCGGTGCGCCGGCGGCGTCGACGGCGGCGCCCGGCGCGCTCCTGCCGCTCGCCGCCTCCCCAGGCGCGCGGTCGGCCGTCTGGCGGTGGCTGTGGGCCTGCCCGTTCCTCTCCCTTCCCCTCCCCGGCGGCGGCGCTGGCTCGCCTTTATCCGGGCGGCCCGCAGCGGGGCGGGGGAGGCGCCCGAGCCGGCTAATTCCGCCATCAAAGCGCGCACGGCGGACCGGGTGGCACTCTGAGCCGCGTCTGCCGCCGCCGCCGGCGCCGCATCGGAAACCGATACCGGCCGCCGGCGGTCGGAGCCGCCGCTCGAGGAGCGGCGAGCCGCCGCCGGCCGGTCAGAGGGCCGCTGCTGGCGGATCAGACGTGACGCCAGCGCCTGCCGCTGGAGGCGGCTCTGATTGTCCCGGCACGACGTGATCCGCAGCATTCGAACCCGTCGGATGGAGCGAGACAGGGGACAAAGTAGCGCAGAACCGTCCAGTGTATGGTGGTGCAAGCGTCCAATATCACTAGATATATGCTGTAAATACGTGGGATTAGACGCTAATGCATGATACTTCGTAATGTGAATACATTTTAATATATTAAGTATTTAATTCCTATTCATAACACGGCTTTCATAGCGGAAAGCATCAGCTACTGATCACCAAAAACAAAGTCAAATGAGATACAGTGCGGTTTAAAACACGTCTAATGGAACATGCCTTTGCCCGGATGTGCACATCCCCCTCGCCATACACCCAGCCCCTCTCCAATGTATAATACAAAGCGATGTCTGCATAAGCAGATGTCGAGCACAAAAAACTTGAGGTCCACATAACAATGCAGATATCAAGAACATGCTGCGTTGTTTTACACCATCGAAACTGTTGAACGCCATCTTGCATTTGAGCCTACACATTGTGAAATACTGCATACACCTCCACCCATAAAAAGGTGCTGCTGACTGCAGTAAAACTGTGCGGCCTAAGACTGCAGTAAAACTGTGCGGCCTAAGTCCCTTTCCAAGTAACTGCGCTGCATGATAGCACCAAGGTGCAGTTGAGAAACTAGCAGACGCATGTCAAAAAGCACGACAGCCAATATTCGCTCAGCTTCTGCGCCGCACTGAGCATTCATTCTGCTGTATGGATACAATGTACTGGGCAAAGTGTGTTGATATGGCGACTCGCGTGCCTCGCTCCATTCGCAGGCTCCACAGGTGCAAGCCGCGAACAACACAGATGAGGGGCATCACTTAACCAAGCGTGAGCCTCTGGTCCGTAGGTGCTAAAGCACGTGCACGCACCGGCCCAGCTCGCCAGCGTGGCCGTCACGCGGTGTCCGTACGCCCTGCCCTACACACCTTCGGAGCTCCAGTCAGCCGGGGCCGGGGCCGGGGCCGGAGGAGGAGCCGGAGCCGGAGCCGGTGACCGGACGGCCGCGTGCGGAGCCGGCTCCGGAGGCAGCTCGGTCAGTGGCCGGGCCGAGTCGGGCACCAGCACGCCCAGCCGCTGCTGCTCCAGCCGCTGCTGCTGAGCTGCCGCGCCGACACAGGCGGCGTCAGCAGGCGGCCAGCCAGGGCGCATACGCCGCCCGGGGTGTAGTGCTCCAGATGCACCCCAGGCGCCAGAGGTGGACGGCTAACGCAGGGACATGATGCATTGATGCTAACCAAAAAACGACCTTTTGTTTGAAGCCATTTGATTGCGCAGTGGTTTGCAAGACTAGCCACTGGATTCAAGGAAGTTGTTGCTGCTGCGGGACGTTGAACAAGAATATATAGAAAAATAGAATATGTAGTGCAAGTCAAGCAAGCATGAACGCATTTCTTAATGCTTGGCAGAAGATGTAGTGCAAGTCAAGCAAGCATGAACGCATTTATTCATTCTCGGCAGGCTGTAATTTCAATGATAAGACATGATATAAGCATCAGAACATGCATTAAAATGGTCAAAATTCACCAACCCCAACATCAAAGCATTACGTCAGCCCACACACCATAAATCTGCTAAACAAGACACAACATGTGAGGATGAGACGAAACTGAGAACATACGGCCGATCGACTCACTCCGTTCTTCGATGTCAATTTTTCTGTTGTGCTCGTCCACCCTCGCTGGAAAAAGAAAACGTATCAGAACCGATCAAAAGGCTCAATCTGCCGACACGTTCTTATTACGGACAGAATCTCCAGGCAGGAGTCCAGTGGCATGCCAAAAGGACGTTGTTATGCTCAAAACACCCCGATGCAGCATGCGCAAACGCAGAACAAAGCATCAGTGCCTATCGTTGCGCGGCGTGATAAGCAAACGAATGTGTCTCCGAGGTGCATGACTTCAGGTAGCATATAAACTACAAAACTGGCCAATTCAGCTTGAGACAGAAATTTCCTGACCCATGTGACGTGTTTGGCATAAAATTCCGTATGACGGTTGGGCAGGGGCTGCGCAGCGGGAGTGCCAGCTCGGTACCACGTGCTCGCCTACCACACCGACTATGAGAGTTCCGGTGATAACTTCGGTGTTTATGTACCTTGAAGGGTGCGGATTTGATTACAGCAGACCAGAAAGAAAGCACAGAAGCTTAAAAATCAAGCGAGCCACAAAATTTCATAATTTTCAAGCCATCATTCGAAGAGTGCAATCTTAGTTGACTGTGACGTGACAGAGGCAAGGGAATGCACTAAAAAAAATGGTGAGCCAAACAATTTTAAGTAAAGTATTTCCATTAATCGCTACTGGAGTGGCATGTTCCATAGAAGTCGGGCATAGCTCTGCTCCCCGGTCTCTTACCCCACCGTCACAATGTGCCTCCACACGTCTTTAAGACTGTGTTTGCGTTTAGCTCAATTGGCTATAACAGTAACTCTTTCTTCCACGAACGCCAGGCGCGCTGAAACTCACCACTGCATTCAAACAAGAAAAACAGGACGACTCCAAAGGAAAATATGGGCAGAGCGCACGGAACCAAGCCAGCAAACATGGCACAAACCGGCACGACTCATATGAACCAAGCAGGGCAGAACGGGCAGACGTCGGCCCGAGGCAGGGGCGATTCCAGGGTTTGCGACGGGGAGGGTCGCCTGAATTTGTGACGGGGGCTGCTTTTTAGCGAATGCATGCCTTTTTACAAGGTATGTAAATGTGGCATTCGTGCATACGGAATACATTGCACGCATTTTGTTTGCATTGCGAACAAACTATACTTGAGCTAATGGGTACAGAAGACAACATATCAATGTGCCATCGATGTCGGTTTGCTTTGGCGCGCCAAAAACTTTCCCAGCTGCGTACAGTACATACGCAGCCGGCTGTCTACCGATTTGATTTCTGGATTACTGCTCTTGGGCACGTGTCAGCCCATGAAAGTCACCGAGATCAAAAACCTAAAAAGCTTCCTGATCACTAGATCTCGGAATTACTTCCATAGATTCATGGTAAAAAGCCACGCTCCCTCCTGAGAGGGGGTGGGACATGAGTCCACGATCCCCGCCCCTTAGCTGGAGCACTGGACGACTGGCCGGGGGAGACGGGACCCATGTCGGCGGGGCGGCGTGGTGCGCCAAGCCGGCCGGCACAGCGCACCACGCTGGGGAGGAGGCCGACGCGGCGTCCCAGCCGTTCACGGCTGCTGGCTCCATTGAGCCGGCGGAGCGGCGACCCGCCGGCCCCGTAATGGCAGGCGACAGGAGGGCGGCCGGCGCCAGTGGTCCGTGCCGAGCAGGGCAGGCCGGGGCGCCTTCGGCCGGACGCCGGAGCCGGCAACAGAGCGTCACAGACACTTCACATGCGGTGAGGTCGTGCTGAGCGTCCCCAGTGGTTCACAGTTTTACGTCAGGCCCGGCATGAGGCACGCAAGATTAAATCACTGAATGCAACACCACCGTTTTCAGCCATCTGATAATCCTCTGGAAACAACGGAACTGCACGGATCACCGCCAGCAAGCACGGATCACCACCTGTCCAGACCAACAGCCAGCCTGGTGAGGTGGAGAGCACCAGAACGGGAGGGCGGCGAGGCCACGGTCTACGTGTGCTGGCGGCCGGACAGCGACCGTCACCAGCCGTCACGAGCTCTAAGGCGCCGCAGCCCGTCACCCGTGTCCCAGGGATGTCGGCCAGGCCGGCTGTGTCGGGTTTGGCGACAGTCTGGCGCCTGCCCACCAGCGGGCGGCGTTCAGCGACGGACCTCCGGGGCCGGCGCGCCGCTGCGGTCCGCGCCGACCGCGCTGCCCGCCCGCCCGCAGCCTCTCGGTATAAGTGGCTGGACGTATATGGGCCGGCGGCGGAACATAAGCCGGGATGAAAGGGCCGCCGCGTCCCGCCCCGGACGCGGCGGGCCGTCCCGTTCCGAGCCGTCCCGGCCGCCAGCGCCGCCCCGGTCGGGCCCGGCCCCGCGCGCGCCTCTTGCCGAGGCGTGACGGCCGACGCCAAGCGCCTCCCCGGCGACGCCATCGCCGTTGCCATGGAGACCCGCAAGCACGCCGCATTTGTTTATGTCTGTGCGGTTTGCTGTTGATTGCAGCGACGAGCGTGTGGTTTATAACGGACGCCGACCAGGCAGCAACCCTTAAGAGGTCGAGATGAAGAGTCGGGCGCCCGCTGCAGACAAGCAAATGCAGTGGCGTCAGCTACTGGGCTTCTGTGTTCAAATGTTTTCGCCCGCCGCGGGCGGTACTCAGAAATCGAGTGCACGTTTGTTTTGCTCATACCTACGCCTAGCAACGAAAGTAAATGTCACCGCTGTGCAGCAAACCTGTCTTTACAGCGACCAGTTTCTTCTGGCATATTGCAGGTCATTTATATGCATTTGTTGCTGCTGTCACCAAGCCACATTTTCATTTCCGTTGCACGTAACACATACGCGCTTAAACAAAAATATGTTATTAAAACTCCAGTTTTGGCAAGCTAGATCAGCATGCACCATGCTCATAGCTTACTATGGATCACCAAATTCATCGCAGGTAGCCATAACTCTCCAGGCTTTCCACACTAAACTTCCCTGATCTAGAGAATGGTCATTCACCAATACACTTGCACTTGCTAGAAAATTGCGTATGCGCGTTGAACGAATCCTAAAAAAAAAACATCGCACTACAGAGGTACGCAAATCTACTCCAGCCCCTGGGAAACTTGAATGCATGGTGAGTTTTTGTTCCTGTTGCATCCGTGCTTTAATACATCTGATCATCAAATTCACTCCCAACAGAGCAATGGCAAGTCTCCGCGGTTCTTTTTTGCCATAAAACCGGTCCAGTTTCACATAAATCGGCCTGCAGCCTCCATTTCCTCAGATTACCGGCCCCCTCGCCACCTTGTGGCTGACACTTGGGGATTTGTCCCATGAACCGCGCTTGTCTAAACCGTCCGGGGTAGTCCGCTAACGATTCCCCAGAGGGTCCCGCTAGTCCGCTGACGATTCCCCAGAGGGTCCCGCTAGTCCGCTGACGATTCCCCAGAGGGTCCCGCTAGTCCGCTGACGATTCCCCAGAGGGTCCCGCTAGTCCGCTGACGATTCCCCAGAGGGTCCCGCTAGTCCGCTGACGATTCCCCAGAGGGTCCCGCTAGTCCGCTGACGATTCCCCAGAGGGTCCCGCTAGTCCGCTGACGATTCCCCAGAGGGTCCCGCTAGTCCGCTAACGATTCCCCAGAGGGTCCCGCTAGTCCGCTGACGATTCCCCAGAGGGTCCCGCTAGTCCGCTGACGATTCCCCAGAGGGTCCCGCTAGTCCGCTGACGATTCCCCAGAGGGTCCCGCTAGTCCGCTGACGATTCCCCAGAGGGTCCCGCTAGTCCGCTGACGATTCCCCAGAGGGTCCCGCTAGTCCGCTAACGATTCCCCAGAGGGTCCCGCTAGTCCGCTGACGATTCCCCAGAGGGTCCCGCTAGTCCGCTAACGATTCCCCAGAGGGTCCCGCTAGTCCGCTAACGATTCCCCAGAGGGTCCCGCTCGCACGAGGCGGTCGTGCCAGAACTGTACGTGGGGCGCTTGGTCAATGTGAAAACAATTCACCACAACAGTAGCGCAGAGCTGAAATTACTGTCCTGTGTGGGGTCTGTATTTTCGCGACAGTGCTTACCATGGGTCTTGATCCATGGTATCCATGGATCCATCTCTGAAAACATCCAGTCAAATTATCGATTCTAAACCCGATTTGGAAGCTGACGTCTCGCTGCAATACATTTTCAGAACCTGAACTAAAAGGCTATCTGGTGCCGTTCATCAGCTGCTGGTGATCTTCGGGACACGAGACGACGGCGGCGATCCAATGGCCTGTTTTTGCGTGCGACGAATGAACGAAAACCTTTCAGTGATTAAAACCATGATACAACATCCTGGGAAACCGGCGTCACTTAAAAGGATCGCTTTCTATCAAAAGTATTCAAGTCAGTTCCTTCAATGAACAAAGCTTACAATTCTGAGAAATACATATTCTCCATCCATCATTCTCCATCCAGTACATCCTCCATCAGTTCCAAAAGACAAAGAACATAACTAATACAACTTCCCTCATCCTTTGCTCGGCTGACCTCAGCACATCACTACGCGCCTGGGCATTTACCACTGAAGCTACCAAAGCCGGATTTGTGTTCGACGTCGGCAGCCAGAGCAGACCTAGCCTTGAAGCCAGTTGTACGGCGCAGGTAAACGTGCCGTCCGCGAGCGAGCTCAACACTGTCCGAGCCGCTGGTGCGCCCGTTACGGACTGGGAGGCAATCAATGCCATCTGTTCCGACACTCGCTTCATGTACAACACACAGTGGCCTAAACCGGGACCGACCAGGCCATGAAATCTATACAGGGCAGCCTGTCAGGACACAGGACAGCTTGCTGTGAATAATATACACTAAAAACTGGCTTGTCCCGATACTTCCGTCACAATCACAAATAACTCAGTGCTCCATGCTCGTCAGCCTCATCGATCAAGATCGCAAGGCCAAACTGCCCAACATTCCTGCATTATCACTTGTATGCATATACCTGTGCGGATGCTATATAGCAATGCACCTTCACTTCACTGCAAAACACATGAAAATTAAAATTATAATGCAATGATACGTCGCATCCGCATGGATTCCCAAAGGCCACGGGTTCCATTTGCTTACGTTTAGGTATC